AGTTTTCCGAAAATGTTCAAACTGAAATATCTCGGGTAAATACTGTCCGATTTCGGAGTGATGTACCTCTTTCTACTCGTACTGATCCTTTCTACTCGACTGATCCCGACAAAATAATTTTTTTTATTTTAATTTATTTTTATCTTTTCAGACTAAAGAATTCAAAATTCCAACTAATCCTGCAAACTACAACGAGTCCTTAAAGGCGCAAGTATCCAGGATTGGACTTCAATAGCGCGGGATAAAGTCATTGTAGGCTTAGGCAAAGCATATATCCACAATTCAAATATAATTTGTAACCATTATAAGTTTAATATGTATTTGTTTATTTTAAGAGACATATATAATATATAAATAAAATAAATAAAAACGATGTATAATGCTTTTAAAAAAATAAATTTTATAAAATAAAAATCTGCTGTGTTTTTATTTAAAATGACCCTTGCCATTTTGTCGATTTGGGTCAAAATTTTGGATTTCCTTTTTTGATGCCAATCGTTAGAACTGATCCTTACGAGTCCAAAATGGTATAAAATTCCAAAATCGGACATTATTTGACGGAAATATTCCAAAAAAAATCATCAAAAAGGTTGAATTTACGAACGAATCGGTTTTTTGTCAAAAACATTTTTCAACCCATCGATGATTAATTTGTTCGAATGCCAATTGATGGTAGGGATCCGTACGCATTCAAAAAGGTATAGCATTTTAAAATCAGACATTATTTACCCGAGATTATCATCGAAAAAGTTTCGATTTTCGCTTTCGATTTTCGCACCGACCTCGAGTTTGAAGGAGATATGACGTTCCAAAACGACATAACTCCACGCGGAGATATGATGTTCCAAATCGACATAACTCTGCGCGGAGATATGACGTTCCAAAACGACATAACTCCGCGCGGAGATATGACGTTTCAAAACGACATAGCTCCGCGCGGAGATATGACGTTTCAAAACGACATAGCTCCACGCGGAGATATGACGTTTCAAAACGACATAGCTCCACGCGGAGATATGACGTTTCAAAACGACATAGCTCCACGCAGAGTTATGTCCACGCGGAGTTATGTCGTTTTGGAACGTCATATCTCCGCGCGGAGTTATGTCGTTTTGGAACCTCCGCGTGGAGTTATGTCGTTTTGGAACGACATATCTCCTTAAAATTCGATGATAATCTCGGGTAAATAATGTCTGATTTTAAAAGGGGCGCCGGTTGGCGGCCGTTGGGTTGCCGGATTTGGCTACAAACTCAGCTGAAATACCAGGCGAACAGAAATGCCCAGCAAGCGAACGACATTTTTGGGAATAAAACATTCATTGCATAAACGCAAGGGCCAGAAATGTTAATTGTAACAGTTGGCTGTTAATGAGCAGCCGTGGCCTCTGTAAAGGGGGTACTGTAAAGACGCATGTTAAGGGGCATGTAAAGAGGCTAAAGAAAATCGAAAGCGAAAATTGAAACTTTTTCGATGATAATCTCGGGTAAATAATGTCTGATTTTAAAATGTTATACCTTTTTGAATGCGTACGGATCCCTACCATCAATTGGCATTCGAATAAATTAATCATCGATGGGTTGAAAAATGTTGTTGACAAAAAACCGATTCGTTCGTAAATTCAACCATTTTGATGATTTTTTTTGGAATATTTCCGTCAAATAATGTCCGATTTTGGAATTTTATACCATTTTGGACTCGTAAGGATCAGTTCTAACGATTGGCATCAAAAAAGGAAATCCAAAATTTTGACCCAAATCGACAAAATGGCAAGGGTCATTTTAAATAAAAACACAGCAGATTTTTATTTTATAAAATTTATTTTTCTAAAAGCATTATACATCGTTTTTATTTATTTTATTTATATATTATATATATCTCTTAAAATAAACAAATACATATTAAACTTATAATGGTTACAAATTATATTTGCTTTGCCTAAGCCTACAATGACTTTATCCCGCGCTATTGAAGTCCAATCCTGGATACTTGCGCCTTTAAGGACTCGTTGTAGTTTGCAGGATTAGTTGGAATTTTGAATTCTTTAGTCTGAAAAGATAAAAATAAATTAAAATAAAAAAAATTATTTTGGGTCTTTTCTTAGAATGTAGATTTTTGGATGGCAATCGATGGTTTTTGCTAGAAATGACTTTTTTCGGAATTCGGAAAACTTTGATGCCGTTCTATTCTATGAACGTCTGCGACTTAACCCTCCCAATTCGGCCAAGATATGACGTGCCAAAACGACATAACTCCGCGCGGAGATATGACGTTCCAAAACGACATAGCTCCGCGCGGAGATATGACGTTCCAAAACGACATAGACCCGCGCGGAGATATGACGTACCAAAACGATATAGCTCCGCGCGGAGATATGACGTTCCAAAACGACATAGCTCCGCGCGGAGATATGACGTTCCAAAACGACATAGCTCCGCGCGGAGATATGACGTTCCAAAACGACATAGCTCCGCGCGGAGATATGACGTTCCAAAACGACATAGCTCCGCCCGGAGATATGACGTTCCAAAACGACATAGCTCCGCCTGGAGATATGACGTTCCAAAACGACATAGCTCCGCGTGGAGATATGACGCTCCAAAACGACATAACTCCGCGATTTCGGAGTGATATACCTCTTTCTACTCGTACGGACACCGACTATCGATTGCCATCCAAAAATCCACATTCTAAGAGATTACCCAAAATGACCAAAAATGCAGTGGTTACATCACGTTATTTGCTAGAAATGACTTTTTCGGAATTTGGAAAACTTTGATGCCGTTCTTTTCTATGAACGTCCGCGACTTAACCCTCCCAATTCGGCCAAGATTGGGCTTCATTTGGCCGAGATATGGCCATTCAAATTTTTCCGAAAATTTTCAATTTGAAATATCTCGGGTAAATACAGCCCGAGTTCGGAGTGATGTACCTCTTTCGTACGGATCGCGGCTATAGATTGCCATCTAAAAATATTTTATTTTGAAGTATCTCGAGAGCACTAAGTCCGAAATTTGCGATTCCTGCTGTCAACTGATTGGCCATGTTCGATAACTTGTTGGCCACAGCTCGCATCTCATTCATCTAGTGCAGATGTGAATTTGCCAGCTAACAGCATTTGTTCATTGACATTAAATAAACAATAAGTTGCTGCTGTCAACTAAATATCCTCAGCTCTGCCTGATTGACATATTGTTATTATCATTTGTGTGTGCTCTGCTTCCCTGTAGGCTCTGTCGCATATTATTGTGTAAGCTAAGTAATGAGAAGCTTAAATTATTTACTAATGAAATACCAGTTGAAATACTAGCTATTTCGACAAGGCAATTTTAGTCAGAAAATGAATTCTTATCATATGCACGAATGTACACATGCATCTATACATATATTGTTATAAAGCATCTGGCCATAAAGGTAACTAAGCAAATTGCTTTGCATCAGTAATTAATATTCTCGGATATGTCGCAAAACACCTTGAATGTCTATAATAATAATCGATTTTATGTACTCATGAGTTAGCATTAAGGACACTTGTCCTTGCACCTCATCCTTCGCTTGGTCTGTCAGCTTGTTGTTGCTGTTGCTGCTGCTGCTTATGCAAACTGCAGCGTTGTCAGCGACGGCTGCGCTCGGCATTAAATTAAAATGTCAAGTGTCGTGTTACTTCCGGGCGCCAGAGTTGCCTACGTTGCCTGCCAGTGTTGCCGCTGGCGCTGCCACTTTCCGAGTCAAATTGCATGCAATAAATTTTATGCCAATCAAATGGGACCTGGCACATAATGCAGCCGGAAAATATTGTTCTTGCTATTGTTGTCGCTGGCTTTATTAATGTCGAGTAACAATAATATTATTTAAAAGTCTATAAAAAACATTTAGATACGTGTATAAGCCGAAAAATTTGAAATGAGAAAGTCGTACAAAATTATTTATAAGCTTAATAGCCCAACTTCCCTGCCATTGCAAGCTTTTTGTAGCATACAAAGAATGTAAGTTAGTTTTTTTTTTTGGAAATATATTTTTAATGAATTTTTGTTTTGTTTTTGAAATTAAAATAGATGTTTTTACTTATTTACAAATAATAAGTAGATGTATATATGTTATGTGTATATATAATGTTCGCATTTGCAGTGTATAATTTATATATAAAGAAAGATTCTTCAAAGGATGTTCGCTCGTGATGCGGTTTTTGTTTTTCTGTTTATTTATTATTTTTCTTTATTTTTAATTTTGTTGTGGCATTTGCTTTTAAACATGTTTCGCTTAATTAATTAGCTTACTAGTTAAATTCATGTTGAAATTGTTTAAAATTAACTACAATTTATATTTAAGTTTTGCTGCACGCTGCTTATTTACTTTGTATATCAAGTAAATATATACAAATTACACATGTATTTACAATTAATTCTTAGCTACAAAAAACGTTCTCTCTGCCTTACTGTCCTTCATTCACTTTCTGCAGTTCGTGTGCCAGCGTCAAAAAGTTGCAAAAACAAACAAAGAAAAATATCGAACAACACGCGTTTCAAAACAGTTATAAAAAATGTAAGCACTAATTTCAATATATATAAAAATATATTTCTATAACTTAATGTATGTTAATAGCTTTTATTTTTTATGCGTATTTTTAAAAAGTATATAAAATATACATTTTTAATTTCAACAGAAAGCTCAGAGAACAAAACAAAATGAGTTTTTATAATTTTGTAAATTAATTTAAAGTTGTCAAGCTGCACAGTTGTTGGTTGTTTGTTTTTTTTTTTTTACTTTTCAATTTTTTATTAAGTTTTTGAATTATTTGTAATAATTTTTGTAAATTTTTTCTTGTTTATGATTTACTTAAAGCAATATTTTATTTTGTAATTCGAGTTTATTTTTGTTTTTTTTTTTTTTTGTTATTTTACTGTTTTATTTAAAATATTAAAATTAATATTTTATGTAAATTAATTTATATTTTTGTGGCAGGTCGTACTGTTTTTGTTTTTTATATTTTTATATATTTTTATTTTTAACTAAAACATGCGTTGGAAATGCTTTTGAAGTTGTACTTTGAGGCTGAGCGCCAGCTTAAACAGCTGCAAAGTAGGCGATAAAATGGATTCGCATATTAAACTTTTATAGCTCGCCCAGAAGCGCTTCAAGTCAAAGCAACACTTCGCGGCCACAACTCTTAAATGATTAATTCTTATATGCTACGGTGAACGGTTGCGAAAAACACGTGAGATATATTTTTTGTTATTTTCTATATATTTTTTTTCCTTTTTTGTTTGTTTTTTTTTTTTTGAAATATGCTCATTTCAACATTTGATGCCTTAAAAGTAAGTTTCGTACCGTTTCTTGCGAATGCGACTGGGACCTGATAGCATAGGTTTTACTGTACTTAACTGCTCTATATAAGTAAATAGCTCGTATTTAACATTTAGTGCATGTGTAAGTGTGTGGGAGACTGTGTGAGTGTGTGTGCGTGTGTCAACAAAGTGCTGCCACGACCTTAACTAGAGCTGTTTTGATAATGAGAAACTCGATGCCTTAACTATCGAAATATCGTATCGTATCATATCATATCATATATATAGATATATATATATATATCAATTCGTTGCCAATAAAACTCAACACACGTACCCTCAACTAAACTAGCATTTATCGTTATCGCATTCTTTCTTATATAAACAACAAAAATTCTATATATCAAAAAAATTCAAAAATGGCCACTTCTCAAATTGAGTAAAAATTAAGTAAATAAAATTGAGATTTCGTTGTAATGCTGATGGGGATTTTGTTTTACCTTTGCATAATGTTGTATGATGATGGTGCATGATGTGGGATGAGGGCTGTGTAAGGGTCTTGTATAGTTAGATAAAAGTGCCTGTTCTTGTTGTTGTAGCTGTTGTTGTTGCTGTTGCTTTAGCCGTTTTCATTATTGTGTATCCGAGAGTTAGCTTAGACAATAATTTCGCGTATGACACGACGATTTCGAGCATTGGGCGTTGTCGAGTATTCGCCCTCGAAACTGTCATCGTAGCCGAGGGACATGTGCTGTTGAGGCGGCAGCACCTCATCCTGTTCCATGTGCTCCATGTTGTAGGGGTTCGGCAGGCCGCTTACGTCGTGATATGGTGAATCTGCAACGAAATTGTTCAAAATTAGTTTCAAGTACTGACCAAAAACTTGAGACTCATGCGCAAACAATTAAAAACAAAGCCAAACCGAACAGAGATAAAAAAATTATACAAAATATATATATATTTATGCTAATCAAATACGATATTGTTGATGTTGTTGGTATAAACAAACACACGATGAACTGAACTGTGGCCGGCTGTGTGGGCGTGTCTGTGTTTAAGGGACATGTAGCAAAAATTTCAACAGGCAAAAATGAAAGTTAGCAACAAAAAAAAATGCTTTTTTGGTAAGTGGAACTCAAAATTCTTGAACATCATCATGGGCATCATTGCGCAAGTATTCGCTGGCGTGTCCTTGGCATTAACTTACTTCAGCCTGCGCGCTCCGTTAGAGCGTAACATCCTGAATGATGTCCGCTGTGCGTAGAATTTATCAATTTAATGGTATTTGTTAATTTTATTTTTATTTCATATATATATATTTTTGATGAGTTTTTGATGTGAGACAAAGTGGCAAAGACATGTGTGTGAGAAGAGAGAAAGCCAAATGGTTAGCGAAATTTGTTCGATTTGCATAGCTTAACTTAGGTCTAAAAGGCAACTGTGTGTGTATGCATGTGTGTGTGCTTACAGACTACGAGTGCGAGTATTTGGCCTAAAATGAGTTCAAACACACGCTCAGTTTGCAAACAGATTGTTTAGTCAATCAATAGGTGGCGTATACTTGATACCGCCATAAGGAACATTGATCAATTATATAAGAATATACGTCAAATCTTTATCAAGTTCAAGGTTGCAGTTTCTATTTGTTTAAAAACATTTTTTAAAATGTAAATCTTGAACAGTTCAGATGAAGTACTTATCAGATTATTCGACGGGTGTTTCTAGATTAAAAACCTTTCGAGTAATATGATAAGTACTTTATCTATGCTAAATTATTTGCACATTATTTCTGCAAGCAAATGCAGTTTAATAATAAAAATAAAAGAAGTTTTTTAAAAAAGGAACTTTTGTAGCGGTTGGGGTTTTGCATAAGCAGATTTTTACTTTTTTCCTTTTAGTTTTTAATTGCAGCTTAATTTGTCAGCTGGCCACTTTTTACAATAGTTGTCGCATGCTGCATGCTGCATGTTGCATGTTGGGTTGACGAGCTACGGACAATTCTCTTAATTTGCCAGTTGACTGAGTGCTGCGACGGCGGCTTTGCTGGTGGCTGCTAACGAGCATCGGCTGTTAAAAAATTAATTACAGCTCGACGTTTGAGTTGTTGCTGTTGCAACAATTGCGAATTGCAATTGAATGTCAACATTGGGCAGTCAGTGCCTGCGGCAGCTTAAAATTAATTTTCTGTCCGCGGGTCCTTGCAGAGGGCAGCTGCGATATGCCGCAGGCTGTTGACCGTAAGCAGGACGCGGCGTTCCCCCGCCCTACTCTCCCCCTCTACCACTCTCTGTCTGAGATCACAATCCCGACACATGTGTAAACAGCGCATTAATTTTGAATCACAACAGCTAGTCAGGATGACAACGGAGCGGCAAAAGCCGTCGAATACATCTTTGTCTGCAAATTGTTGCATACTTAAGCAAGCGGATGTCCTGAAAAGTCCCTTGCTCAATTGTAAATGCCACCCGCTGTGCCAAGGCCAAATAATCGGCGTCAAAAGATGTGCCAAAATAAATAAAGTTGGCGAAGTGGGGTAGAGCTCGTAGAAGATCTCTGGCTTGGCTGGGCGCCTGGCATTGTGTGCCAAATCGTTGGAAAATTTATTAGAATTTGAATTTCAAAATCGAAATCGCCGCATTGCAAAGTGTTACGCTTCACCTAGCTCCTTCCCTCTTCTTCTCCCTTGGCTCTTCTCTGCATCACTTTTGGCCAAATACCAATGCGTGCCAACATGCACCCCGCTAGCCCCGTGCTAACCACTCGCATGGCGCATAAAAATATAAAACGGTAAATCCTTTTTAACAACTGCTCTTTAACATGCTCAAACCGACCCCGCCCCATCCCCTCTTTTTGCAGCAGCGTGCGAAAATTTCTAAGCGCGTTTTTGTCGCCCATTCTGCACGGCTTTCGGCATCTGCATAAACTTGACCCAAAAAAGAAGCAAACCCGGCGAAGAAAAACGAATGCTGGGGGAAAAAAAGCAGGGCAAAAAGTCAGCCAAAGTAAAAAGCGAATCCGCTTTTCGTTTCAATGTTTTTCTTTTCTTGCCTCCCTTTTTTTTGTATAAGAATTTTCTTTACATTTTCCAACTCTTTGGGATTTCCCTTTCGTTTTTTTTTTGTTGTTGTTTTGTTCTCCATCGTATTTTATGGCCAATACGTGAGCTGTGCGTATTATGCGCATAACTTTATGCATGCCACGCCTATCTAGACAACGCCCGCACATAGAGGTGGGCTTCAGTCGACTACTTTTTGCTGCTTTTCAATTTGCCCGTCCTTGTGCTGAGCTCTGGAATCAGACCCAGTTGAAACAACTTAATCGTTTTTGCGTTAAGCATACGCACTGTTTGCCTATTTCGATATGCCCTGCAAATCATTCAAATGGGGTTTATGCAGCTGGTGTGTAGATGGGTAACCGGAGGAGTTTAGCTCCTCTAACATTAACCCTATGGTACACGTGGTATCTGCCGGTAGGGCACTCTCGCCTGAACGAAAATCAATTCACAATACTTTGATGTTAATGATTAAGCTTATTTCAAGCATTAAAAAATTACAGGGTACAGTAAGTTTAAGATAATAATACGATTTAGCTGTCTCTTGACATGCCATCTGTAAAACTCTTTCCATTACATTTCTGTGGATTTACTATAAAGAACAGGGCATCCAGGAGCACAGCATCTCGTTGACATTGCGAAAGTACAGGGTATCATCTGGTTGGGCTCTCTCAGCATAATTGAATACATTTAGAGGGTATCTTTCAGCTTAGCTACATGGTTCTTACTCAAAATGCGTTTTTCTCGTTCTGTTTGGCCTTTTCATGCAAATTTTTTGCCCCGAGGGGCGGCCTGTCTCTCTGTTGCTGGACTCTAAGCTCGTAATAACCCATTTTTTAGTAAATTTCCCAAAAAATGTCGAAAGTAAACAAATTGCAGCCGAGTTTATCCACAAAACAAACACACACAGATAGAGCAGTCGCTTATCATTGTTGCCCCCCCGCCCATATGCCCCTTCCCACTCTTTTTTATACTGCCTCACAAATCCACTTAGTGTGTGTTTAGTGCTACGCGTGGCAGTTGCCTCCTGCAGCAGCAATAACAGCAGCTACTTGCCACACAGTCTCGACTCTCGAGTCTTTCGCCGACTCATGATTTATGCGACTCGACGCAGATACCCCTGGCAAATGCTAGAGGGGAGGAAGAGGGGGCTGCACTGGGCAGCGATGTGATTTTATGGCGCTTTGAATAAGTTGTGCGTCATTCGAAGGCAACATTTATTGGCTGGCCTAAAAGTAAGCTGCACTATTTTACGGCTCACTATCAAGAGTGGAAAGTGTGGCACAGCTTGAGCGTAGCGGCAAAGCAAATACATCTTTTAAGCTCATGAAGTCAAGAGTTATTGGCCATCCGATTAACCAGATTATAGGCTTAACTCTTTTCAAAGTATTTCAATGTCTTCGTTACGCGTTTTAATACCTTGTCTGATGGCTACTTAGCGAGTTTCTATGTGATGTATTATTAGATATCTTTCGTTGATTTTTACAAAGCGTTTTATAGCACTCCCAGCAGCAGACGGCGAAAGTCTTCATCGAAACGTTCAGTTGTTTTCTGAATACTTTTCAATAAAGAGGCTCTTCAAAATAAACTTAGATAAATATATATATACATACATAAATATAATAGCATTATTACATTGCGCAACTAGCCTGTGTATCAGCAAATATATCCCAACGAAAACTATTCTATTGTATTTGTGCAAAATCCAAATGTATGTAACAGGCATCTTTAAGAATTTCTGTATACATGTACAGACACACATTCATGCGCGTCTGCTTCGCATTTTAACAGCATGGTTATTGCGACTTTTTTCTCTAATGCTATTTAAGTTCCTTTTTTTATCATAAGTGCTTAATTCAAAATTTTGACCCAAATCGACAAAATGGCAAGGGGTTATTTCACGTTTTTTTTCAAAATCGAGGTCGGTGCGAAAATCGAAACTTTTTCGATGATTTTTTTTTTTATCTCGGGTAATAGCTCTGCGCGAAGATATGATGTTCCAAAACGACATAATATCTATTTTAATATTTAGGGTAATAGCTCCACGCGAAGATATGACGTTCCAAAACGACATAATATCTCGGGTAATAGCATCGCGCGGAGATATGACCTTCCAAATCATCACGTTTTTTTTTCAAAATCGAGGTCGGTGCGAAAATCGAAACTTTTTCGATGATTATACCCTGAACCCATTAAAAATGGATATAAGGGTATATTGTATTTGTGCAAAATCCAAATGTATGTAACCGGCAGAAGGAAGTATCTCCGACCTCATAAAGTATATATATTCTTGATCAGCATCAATAGCCGAGTCGATCTAGCCATGTCCGCCTGTCTGTCCGTATGTGAGATGTGTAAGGGAAACTCTCGAAAAACTGTGTTCTTTTTCAAGAAAAATCTTTTTTGTTGCGCGCCCTGTGAAATCTATTTAAAAACTTGTGCTGATGTCAGAGCATAGGAGAGATTTGGATATTGTTAAACTCTGGAAATTTCATATTTGTTGAGTAGCCTACGAAATATTTATAGAAAAATGTTGTTTCAATAATATCTTCAATTTATGTTTTTTTGTTTGGCATATTAAATTATTTTTAGATGAGAAACAATTAAATAAATATTAATATTTTTTTTTAAATATTTCTCATAGAGCTTTAAGTATTTTAGGCACATAATACCAAAAAAAATAATATTATCCTTTGGGAATCATCTTTCCATCTGTGTTTTATCTCATTTTTAATCCCTTTTTCTCTCCTTCTCTTTCTCACCCTCTTGTGCTTCGCTGATTTAATGATGAATTAAGCTTCATGTGCGAAAATGCGCCAGCAACTGACACAAAAGTCTGCATAATCAATCAGTTCTACCCGCTACCCTTTTACCACCTCCCACCCCCGCATCCACCGACGGCCCCTGCTCTCCAAAAATAATACAAGAAAACCGAAAACATTTTTTGCGTCGCATTTGCTGCCTTTTGCTGCCGCACAGACTTACTTCCGCCTGCTGGGCAACACACCACCCACTACCCCTCGACATCTCCTCCGCACCCTCGCCCTCCTCTGCCTAACACTTGATGCGGCAGCAGCAGCTGCTGTTGCAGTGCCACAAAAGTCAGTTCAGCTCAGCTGCAGCTTTGCAGCTTCAGTTGGCAAGTGTAAAAGCTTTTAAACATGTTGCCACACACTCACACACACACGCATAGACTCACTCACACACACACGCATAGACTCACTCACACACACACACATAGTCACACACAGTTGTGCATAAGCTGACACATCAATGTAATGAAGATGTATTTGCATATTGTAGCACTGTCAATGTCCCTACACACTCCAACCCAAAACCCCCTATGCTACAACTCACCCCCCCACAGCACACAATCTCCTTCTCCTCACCCACCTATGGACACAGCTTTTAGTTGCTTTGCTTTTGACGGCACTCGTGGGGCGTTTCCTGCTGTTGTTGTTGTTGTTTTTGGCTGCATTTTATTGACATGCATGTGCCTGTGTGCGTGTAGGAGTCTGTGTGTGCGTAAGTATGTGTGCGAACAACTGGGACGCTTATATGGCAGTGTGACATTTGCAGTATGTTGTTCTTGTTGTTGCCCCGATTTCTTAGTTTGGCGCACAACAAATTTTTGCGTTTAACCGCCGAGTGGGCGGCTGACCTGACAATGGGGAGGCGTGGTCAGTGTTTTGTTATGCAACATCAGCCGCAAAGTTGTTGTATTTGCGAAACGTTTTTGCATTTTATACACACGCACGAACGCACATAATAAATACAGAAAGAGAGAGAGAGAGAGAGAGAGAGAGAGAGAGAGAGAGAGAGAGAGTGAGAGGGTGTGGAAGAGAGATAGAGAGAAGCACACATTACAAATAACAAAAATTCATCGTGGACGCGAAAGCAACAACAACAACAATAAGATCAACACTTGCCACGTCCTGTTTTGAGTCCTGTTTCGTCCTGCCGCAGGGACGCCGGGCAATAAAAACCCGCAACATAACGAAAAAAGGCAATTTTTTTATATATACTTTTCGGGGGTGCTCGCTCATAAACCGTAAAGATAACACAAATACCGCACACACTCGGTTCACACACGCGGCGCGCTGCACACACACACACACACACACACACACCAACAAGCCGTATAGTTGCAACAACAACAAAAACATTGGCAGGAGCAATATCATCAAGCATACGCCCCCGCGGCCGTCTGATTGCAGTCAGTGTTCGTTTTGGCCCTTGTATTTGATACCCTGTATTCATCGAGCGCTCAACACAAGGGTATATCAATTTACAGTTATAAATGTTGTATACAATATGTTAAAGATTTATTACGTAAATCTTTAAAAATCAGTTCACATACCATCTATTTCACCCAATCGCAGAAAAACAAATATTATTCAAATTTTTCTCAGGAATCTTCGAACTTTGTGAGATTTGTGGTACAAAAGGTAACCTTCGTATAAAAAATATTAAGATAGACATACGTACATTTCCTTTAATTTTTTTCTCAATCCTTCCATTTTCATACAATGTAAAGGATATCTCTTAGTTGCGCAGCATTTGGTTCATTTTGTTTTGCTTGGTTTAGCCAGAACATTTAGATTTCTCGCTTCGTTTTTTATTATTTAATATTTTAAAACACTTGCGGTCTTATTGGCAGTACAATAAGAAGAAACACACACAATATAATTCGCACACACACACAGACACACTGAGTAAAAGTGAGCTTCTAAAATTGTTGTTTCTTTTGCTTCGCTGAACTTTAGGAAAAAGTTGGCAAAGACTTTAAGCCAAGACCGTCAGATGTGCAGCAGACAGAAAAGAGCCAAAGAACCTAAAGGAACCTATCGCTAAAGCCTATTGCTGTGTCATGCTTTTGGATGGCGGTTTGCGTTGGGGGCGTGGCGGGCAAGCACACACACACACTCACTCACACACAGAGAGAGACACACATACATAATTAGCATGAGCCCGAACAGGCGAGCCGGGTCGACGTTGGAGATATCCGAGTGCTTAACTTGTCATAACTGAAAGTCCGAGTGCAAACACTCCCACACACCCACAAAACACACACAACACACACTTACACCCAAACAACACAGCACAACACACAAAACATAGTGGGTAAGTTTGACAGGCAAGGCAAGCTGAGAGGCGACCCTTAGCCAGTTACTCGCATCCCCGCTGCAGCCACACCCCTTTTGCATGTTGCCCTACTCCAACTTTTAAGTTTGGAACTTTGGAAAGCAGTTGGTAGATAGCTCGACCCCTGTGCTTAATGTGTCATAAGTAGAACTGGGAGCGATGAAAGTTGTCAGATTTGTTTGCTCCTCCACCTTTTTTTCTTTCCTGGTTGAGCTTACCTCATCAGACTGCTTGTGCATATTATAGGGAGTCTTTACAGTTTACTTGGCAGATCTTTCTTTTCTAACATTACACATTTGGCATTCTCTACTCTATTACTTGAATAATACTTAAGGTTTCACTTAATTTTATTCTCTCTGTGCAACTATATTTCAATCGCATTGTAAAGCACTTTTCCAATGGATTTCTTTTTCTATATGTATATCTATTTCTTTATATACATATACCTTTCACCCTGTGTATCTTTCTTTAAATTCTTCGCTTTCTCATTAGTGATCTATTTTGATATATGCGTCTCCCTCACTCTCCTTTCTCTTGATCTGTATCCATTGATCACTATATATACTCTCATTCTCCTTCTCTCTCTATCATTCCATTTATTGTTTCCATTATTTTTATCCTCAGATCTATCATACTATCAATCAGTTTTTTCTTAATAGTTTTTCTGTTCTTTACATTAATTCAACCTAAACTTACTTTAAAGATAAAACGGTGTATTTTAAACAGAATATTTTTCTCTCGCTCTCTTTCTTCAATTGAATTACCCGCTATTGAAACTCAAGTTTTTCATTATTTTCACTTATCAAATTCATTCCAACCTCACTTATCGCACTTTCCACGCAATTTCTTAATATCGATAACAATATGATACGATAGCTGCTTTTATCGATGACTTACCTAAATGTTGATCGACACGTTTCTTGGGCTTCTGTACCGATGCATAGGGATCACTGCAGTAGTCCTGCCGGGACGGATTTTGACTGTTGCGCAAATTATGATATTCGTCGCCCACCTGGCTGGGCGTGGCCGTCAAATGTGGATACGGTGCATAATCATCGACAGCCCCATAGCCGCCATGCGTGAGCGGATCGTAACCATAGGTGGGCTGCTGTTCCACATATTGATTGTGTGGCGCCTGGACGAGTGTCTGTTGATTTCCAACCGCAGCCGCGGACATTTTTACCTGCCAAAGCGAGTCCTGTGAGTTGACGCTGCCGCCATTATTCGAATTGGAATAATTGTTCTCCATGTAGCCCATGTTGACCCCTGTAAAAATGAATGAAGAAAAAACGAAAAATTCAATTGCGGTAAAATGCTGTAAAAACTGAACTCGAACAAGTGTCGCATAAATCTGCCACAGCATTGCATGGTTGACAGATAGATTTCTGGCGCCAGGCCAAATAAAATGCTTAGTAAATAAAATTCACAGTTCAATGCAATCAGCGCGATAAAAAAGAGAAAGTTTCTTTTACAGCTTTATATTGATTAGCACACTAAAATGATAGCAGAGTAAAAATAAAATAAATAAAACGAATTTATTAGCTGGGCGAATCAACAAGGCGTTATTAATTGTTCAAAAACATATTGCTCATACGCCACTTAAGACCTGCGCCAAAGGCCATCGTAAACTCACAAATCTATGCGGAGCACTGTCACGCCCCGCCCCACCCCTTCGGTGTCCTCACTCCCCTTTCAGCTGAGCCGCCTTTTGTAGTTCTGAGAAAGTTTGTTGACAAATTTTTTACGAGCTACGCGAAACAGTATCAAAGCAGGAGCCGCTCTCAATGGGCGGAGGTCCTTGTGTCCTTCTGGTGCTTGTTACGCGCCAGAACAAAGGCGTTGACAAGCAGCAATGCGCCTTGTTACAGGACCTGCCCGCGCGCCCCTACTTTAGCTTCTTTCATCCCATGCAGCAGCTCGTTACTTTGCCGGGCTGCCTGCCTGTGCGTGCGCCTTTGTAGCTCGCATTTATTATTATTTTTATATCGTGATAAATCACTCATAAATATTAAACGCACGCTTGACAAGGAGTACAAAAAAGAAAAAAAAAAAAGGAAAACTTTTTGAATTTTGAGTCGAAAACCGAATAATTGGCCGCTGTTCTGAAAAACGTTTTCGCCTAGTATAGTTCAAATGAAAACATTAAACACGTAGTTGAGATTTATCTGTTTCAATGAGCTACGTTTTAAGAGCACAAATTTCGATAGCTTAAAGTTGGGAGATATTTTTGCTAACTCCTCAAAGGTATAGCCTGAACACAAATTGGCGAATTGGAGGCGAAATCGTTTTATCAGCTCATGTTCGCTGACGTGCGCCACAATTTAACGACAATTTGTGTGTTTTGTTAGCCAAAAACCAAAGGACATGCAAATATACCATATATACATATATACGAAGTGTTCGAGTGTTGGACCGTTCCATTGCCAGCTGTTTCACGTTTCGTGTGCCATTTCCAGATTGCGTGTCGTTTTGCCGCTTTTTATGCGACATGGTGGGCGTGATAATTTTTATGATTAGCCATAAAACTAAAAACAGTAATAATATTAACTTCATTTTCATTTTCCATTCCCGAGAGCTCTCCGCCTCTTCTGCTTTAACGTTCTTTGCATACATTTCCAGTTGTAATTTTATGCGATATTTCGTTGCTCGTGTTCTATAAGGCATGAAGCCCACAGAGCAGGCAACCAAAAAAAAAATGAAATAATAAACTTTTCAATTTGATAAGCATCAAATCTGTTTGGCACAACTTTTGATTGCGCAAGTTTTCGGTTTGAATGGGCACCAAAAATATTTGTGGACAACAAATTACAAATACAAAATAACAAATTCTGCCCAAAAATCTACTCTATACAGGAATTTTAATGCATTTCCATTGTTATGCGGCAAAGCGGTTGTAGGCGCGAGCGGTGGTGTAGAGTGGGCAACGAGATGGGGGGAAATTTGTGTTGCCTACTTTTGCCGCGACTCGCAATTAAAGTTTAGTCGAAAAGTTTGCACATTGATTTGTGCAAATAACTGCTTTTTGGTGGCATAGTTTACAAAACACAGCCATGGCCACGCCCACAAGCAGTGGGTCAGTGGGCGGCTGGGCTTATTAATCTCGCCACAAGCTGCTCAAGTGTCTCTCGCTGGCAGTTCGGCTGCCAGAAATTCTTTTCACGTTAACGACTCTCGGCCAAGTGGCAAAGTTGCAATTGCGCCCCGTCGCTGCCCGTGCCACTAATTCACTCTCTAGACAAAGTTTTCAACCGGAAGCGCTTATAATTATGCAACATTTTTGTGCAGCAGAAGCAACGAGAGGCTGAGGCAGCCGCACAATAAAAACAGTTTCAAATGCCATTAACGGTTAACTAAACGGCAACGGGCTGAGGGCACAGTGTAGAGGCTAGAGGGCAGGGTGCCAGTTCTTAGCCAAAGAGCGAGTTGAGCTGCCCAAAGTTGTCCCCTTCCCCCTTTTAAGCACCTCAAGCGCACAGGCGGCGTTAATGGCGCCACACTCCACAACTTGCGGTGCCCCCCACGTGAACTCAACTCTGGGAGACGACCTTTGCCTGCCCCTTGTTGCACTTTTAATTAGCGTCGCGACGCAGGCTGCTCGGCATTTGGCCCCAAATGCGCTTAAATGCCAAAAGTAGTGGAGCGGGAAGAGCGGGCGAGTGGCAGCAGCAGTCAGCAGTGGAGTTTAGAGCACTTGCCGTAAGGCTGACTTGCCACCTGCGCGCCCTTCTCTCCAGCTCTGCCTGCCACTGGTTTCCTGCCTGACTGGGTTCCTGTGCTTGCACCATGTTGCAATTTCTGCTGCTGGCGGCCTTTTTGCTGTTGTAGCCAGCCTCAAGTTGGCAGAAAAGGAAAGTTTTCAGGCAAGCTGCATTTTTGTGTGTGTTGCTCGGCTGCCGCTTTGCTGCGAGTTTGATAACTTTCCTGCTCCCAAGTCCTGCAGCTCGAAGCAGTGCACACAATAAAAATAATTATTATTATTATAATAATAATATGCTCTGCTTGGCGCTTCCCGTTCACGCAATCAGGTCAAGTTGAGCCGAAACTTTTCATAGAATCGCCAACTTTACGGGATATTCATAATAAAAGATTATCAAATTCACTTGTAATCAACTTGGCTAACAAAAAGGACGCTTGAGGGGCAACAGCTAAACAGGCATACAACTTTTTAAAATATTTCTATTCTTTGAGAAACGTATTGGGAATACCATCCACTTAAATTATTTTTATAGTTGCTAAGTCCTTCAAAGAAATCTAGTTTAAAAATAATAATAAAAAGACCATAGCTTGGTCAAATCTCATCTGATTTGCTCTTTGTTCTTGGTTCGCCCTCTTGAGCAATTTGACATCTTAAGCTGGCAAGAATGTATTCTTATATTTAACAGTCTCGAACATACTATGTACATTAAATTCGGTGTACTATGAACAATACAGTGTATACATATATTTTTACGCGAGATAACAGATCACGCTCGGCACAATCAACCGTTTATAAATATATAAATATATACAAACATACGTTTGTCTGTCTATATTATATATAATTTTTAGACCGTTTTACCATCCACAAACGAGTATATTTAGAAATGAAATTTTTGGTTTTTATTGCATTTCACATTTTAAATTCGATTATTTTCGACATTTTTGCTGAAATCCTCCTGATATTCTTTGTTAACTTTGAGCGAATGGTTGATAACACTAGAAGCTGGCGGAGGCTGCTGCGGTGCAGGGGGATAGGCCGATTGTGGTGCCGGGGGATAGGCAGGTGGTCCATATTGAGGTGCTGGTGGTGCATACTGGTTATATGGCTGCTGATTGCCTGGATATGGACTCGGGTACTGGGGATTCATGGGCGGCGGCGGCGGCTGCGCATACGGATTATATGGCGGCTGCTGCTGATTGTATGTGTAGGGAGTGTAGGGATATGGCGGATAGGCGTAGGGCGGATAGTTTGGATACGCTGGATTATTGTATTTATGTTTATGCTTTCGACCGTGACTGTGTCCACTATTATCACTGCTATCACTGTCACTGCTGCTGTCGCTATCCGCCAGGACACTTCCGGCCTGCCAGCAAGCCAGCAGCAGGATGCCAACTAGCGTCAAGTATTTATTCATTATTTGGCAAACAGATTCAAATTACGATGTCGAGCAACCGAACAAGACTAAGTGCTTGAATTGAGATTAAGTTAAGCGAATGTCTGACGCAGAAAACGCAGAATTCTATAAATTGATAAGCAGCACACGAGCATCTGAATATGTTTGTGCTGCTTATCAATGAGAACGTTTAAAATATTGTCAACCAAATGAGACAGATTGTTGACAAATGTTCATTCATAATCTAATGCGTACTTGCAGCATCTACTAAACAGCGTCTGTTCTAATGTGGCGCTTATAATAAAATATAGCGGGTATTTCCCGGGCTTGCAGAGTTCAAGTGGATTATCATTATCAATTAAAGGGCTCTGACTGCGTTAAACTGTGATAAGAACAGCAAAAATATAATCTATATTTTTGTCTGGTTTACAATCCACGCAACTTTGTATATTATACACAATTTATCTTCTACTCAATTTTGCTGCTATTCGCAAAACTATAAACATTAATAATACATTAATCAAATTTTCAGAGAATGATCATTAAATATTCTTGAGCTGTGATTGCGCGAGTCTATGTACCCAGCATTTATATATCGAAATCATGGAAACGGGCCTTTTTATCGATGATTTAAAACAAACTTGAACATCAGTCTAACTACCTAGTTAGCAGAGTTACGTTCAAAATTTTAAGTCTCGAGTTTTTACACAGCCCATAATTGTGGAGTAAGAAATTATAATTTTTAATGAGAAATAAATACATCTTAATAGGCAAATCAATGCTATCGTAAACAACAAATCCCTTATTCCAGTTGCCCCTATTCTTAAAATGGGCATATATATAAGTGAGAGAGAGATGGAGAACACAGTGTTGCCAGACTTAAGACTGTGCATGTCAGCTGAGAAGCCCTTACAATTTATCGCTTTAAGCCAATTGTAAAGCAGCCAAGTGAAAGTTTGTTTTTCATATTTGTTTGTACCCAGAGTTAAACTCAAAATTTGCTGACTCTGTTGGTCTCTGCTGGTCAGCTGCGGACTGGCAAGGGGGGCAGGGGTATTGGACTGAGCAACGCCTACGGCTAGACAAGCGCAGGATAACGACGACGACAACAACGAGTAAGTCTAGAGGACATGTACTCCAAAAACCAAATAAATGCAAACAAATGTCGTTTTCGTCCGGCTGCTGCTGTCGCCGGCCCCCAGCCCCAAATAAAAGGCAGCCAAACAAACAACACGCAAACCAAAAATAAACAAGTTAGAGGTTCTAGTCGGGAGCTCCCGACTAGAGGATACCCTGAACCCTCTTCTTCCAACATCAAATACATATATATATTCTATTTTAGAAGCTATATGTCTCGATCTGCGCAGGCACTAGGAGCACCTACATCTAAAATTTCAAGTCTCTAGCTCTTATATGTTCTGAGATCCTTGTGTTCATACATACGGACGGACGGACGGATGAACAGACAGACGGACATGACTAGATCGACTCGGCTATTGATGCTGATCAAGAATATATATACTTTATGGGGCCGGAGATGCTTCCTTCTGCCTGTTACATACATTTGGATTTTGCACAAATACAATATACCCATTTTTAATGGGTTCAGGGTATAAGAAATCTAAAAGCTAAAAAAGCCAAAAAAGGACAACAAAAAAAGAAGGCAAGAGCAAAAAATCTTTTGCGCGCTGAAATTTATGCGCTAAATAAATAAAGCCATGAACTCGATGCTACAAATGTTGTCTGGCTTTTCCAGGCGTGTGTTTCTCTGTGTGTGTGTGTGTGTGTGTGTGTGTGTGTGTGTGTGTGTGTGTGGCTGTATGTGTATTTGTGTTCTGGTCTGGTTTAGAATGCAGCTAGGGCCCGCAAAGCAAACAGCCGCAAAATAGTTTTGCAGACGCCACCACGAACACAGCCATCGCCGCCACGCCCCCAAAAATGCAACCACAGCCCCCGATTTGAACAACATTTTGCGCGGCAGCGTTTTAGGCGCGTGTCCAACATGTTTATCTTGTAATTGTTGTTGTTGTTTGAGGCAGCCTTGGCCAGCTGACCGCACAATTCAATGACAAAATCTATGAGTTGCATTTGCCGGCTTTGGTTGTGCTTCTGCTTTTGCCTCTGTTTTCGTTGTTTTGTATGCTTTGTATGCAGTGCTGTAAAACTAATTGGCTTTAAAATCTAAACACAGCTGCTGACATGGCACAGATTGCAGTTCATCGAAAGACCTGAGAATATGTGCCATACAATATGAAAGCCTTAACCCACATTAATAAACTAAAAGTCGGTTTGGATACAAAAAAAAAAAAAAATAAGGCAGGAAACTAGCCCAAAGAAAGAACAAATTCAGAATATCTAAAAATTTGCATCAGATGCTGAACAGAAACCAAAATATAAAATTAGAATTGATAGAAATGATCAAAACTTGAGTAAAGAACTTTCGTTTAAGCAGTGTTGCAAAATGCAGCAGACAAATTAGTACACTGAGTATATGTGCGCTATTCTAGTAGTTAATACAGAATATGGTAAGCAGAAATTAAAATATAAATAAATATAGCTAAATTTACATAATGCTTATGAAACATTTAAATTTTACAACACTAGCTGCTAACATTAGGCACAGCTGATATAACTTACATAAAAACAGGCTACAATTATTATTTTATATATTTTTCTGCTGTTATTATTGCCCTGCTCTATGCAGTAGGTATACTCGCCAGTTATTCGAGTGCAAGTTCTCGTTCCTCAATTGCCTAATATAATATTTTAATATTATTAAAATCATCCCGGTACCATATACCTTTATTATAAGATATTCATAAACGTATTAAGTACCAGTACGATGCTATCAGGCGAACAATTTGCCATTAGCCGAGTGCAACTTTCAATTGGAAACGGCCCCAGGTGGCAACGCCATTGTTTTTATTGTCCTCGTCGTCGCCGTTGCCGCTTAACATGCAAAGTTCATTAGGTTTTTGGCCTATGCAACGATTGCGGCAATTTTGGTTGAGCTCTTAACGAGTCCAAAGCGCACAAGCGACAGCAACAAGAACAACAACAGGAACACGCAACAACAACAACCACAACAAAACACATTCAAATGGCATTTGCCAGGAGCCAGCAGGGGAGGGGCTTGTGGAAAATGAGAGCGCCCAAGGCAGCTTCTTATGCAGCAATTAGCGCTTACAATGAACTGCAAGCTGCAGCACCTGGAAATCTGATTGTGTGTGCGCGCGTGTGTATGTGTGTGTGTGTGTGTGTGTGTGTGTGTGTGTGTGTGGCACAGCTGTTGCCTGTCTACGCTTTTTATTATTCATGCCACTTTTGCTGGCTGCCACTTTCACTAGCCAAATTAGCCGCTCGCGCATTTCTTTTTAAATGCAATTAAGTGCCAATGTTCGCTGGCAGGCAAACAAAAAAAAACATACCTAGTTTCGGGGGAGGCACTTGAAAATTTTAATTGGCATTCGACGAACACTTGAAACTCGGAAACTTTTGAATGAGCCCACACAATGGCTGCCATTTGCAGCCCCTCCCCCTCGGACGAGCTGTTTAGCAATTGCCAACTATCAGTTGCTGCGCGAACTTGGACGTCCTTCGGCAAACAGGAAAATATTGCAATTAAATTTTTGTCCAGCAGCTTAAAATTCTATTGCCATTTAGCAAAGCACATAATAACAACAAAAACATGCACACAGCGAGCACACACACAAAGAGGAATTTTTAATTTGCACGTCATTACCAAATACACCCTGCAAAAAAATGGTACAAAAAACAGTTGGAAAGTTGAGCTGACACGAAGAGCGAATATCCTGCCAGGCATAAATGTACTAAATAATGTAGAACAAAATTTGGAAAAAACATATACTTGGAATGTGAGCGAGTGTCTGGCTCGAGCGAGACAGAGACGTCGGGGTACTAGAACTATCTCAAGTCCAACTTCTTTTATATTTTAATTTTACATCACACAATCCTAAAAAACTGTTACGAAGCAGTGCAACTTTAATGACAAATTGTTATGTTTTAAAAGAACAGATTTGGAAATACTATTATTACTATTACTATTAATTAAATAGAATTATTTTCCGGCAACTACAACAACGATCTCAAATGGTTATAATAGATCGATTCTAATATAGACTAGAATATTTTACAGATCTCCATAAAGAAATCGACACTGGCGAATACAAATGTTTCTTAATATGCGGTTCTTTCCCAGAGCAATATAAGATCAGTTTCCGATTTCATAGGTGAGAGCTAAAAGGAATTGATTATATGCTTATATCTAGTCTTATTTTGATATTCATGAGTGCGTTACACACCTTTCAGCATAATTAGAATAGCCCGCATGCAGGGCTATAAAAAGCAGAGAACCTGTCCAATTTGTACGCTCACCATGTTAAAGGTTAATACCTCTTATGGGGACCCTCCTCCCCAAAAAAATAAAAACAGAAACACACACACAAGGGATACATGGGATTGGGTAAGTAAAAAATAAAAGTAAACCAGAACAACAATTAATAATGAATTGTGTATTGCGTATTGCGGGCAACCGCAGAGGGACGGACCGGACAGAGCGGTGTTGGTGGGGAGCGGGCAGAAGAACCAGGGACAGGGGCAGGGGCAACGATGGCGGGTCCAGTTTACGCATTCATTTTGTGCGCAATTTTCGTTTGTTGTGGTGAGGGCGGGTGGCGGTTGAAGGAGGCAGAGGCGTCACTGGAAAGGACGGCAAGGACGCGCAGCCAGGATGAATGGACGTGAGCGTCAAGCAGCAACAACAACAATAAAAGAAAATAACAACAACAACAACAACAAATGGCAAGTATATTACAAAATGCTTTGGCGAGGACGTAAAACGTTTAGGGAAAAAATTGCTGTTTCAACAAATTTACAACGGAAGTTGAAGTGTTTTGTCGTTGTGTGCGTGGGTATGTGTATGTGCCGCAGGTGTGTGTGTGTTTGCGGCTTGCACACCTCCCTAGCCATGGTGTGTGTGTGTGTGTGTGTGTGTGCCCGCAGAGGCGCGTGATGAATGCGCATGGCCATCGATTTGCACTCAACTCCATTTTGCACTTTCACATTTCATGGGCTACATAATTTGTGTGCACCACCCAACCCGCACCAACCAGCTGCTCACCACTCCCCGCACCGCTACTTGCCCCACGCCCGTGGCGCGTCAGCACGGATTTCATTTTGTTTTGTGATGTGTTTTGCGGTGGACAATGAAAAATCACCCAAAACATTTTGCCACCAACATTCAGGGAATGGAAGAGAGAGAGAGAGAGAAAGGGAGAAAGGGAGAAAGGGGGCAGAACAGGGAGAGTGACGGACATGGTCCGACGGAAGTATTTCGCACTTTGGCATTGGTTGAGGTTTAGCTATACTCTCTCTACTCTTATGACCCAGTGTGTGTGTGTGTGTGTGTGTGTGTGTGAGGGCGAGTGCAAGTGTTGAAAGGGTATCAGGCATTTGTCATCAGTTTGGCAGCTGAAAACTTTATATAAAATTTTCAGAGTTTGCTCAGGAACTTGATATTAAGATATTGATATAAAATGTATAAAAATAACGCATTTAATTTAAAACTGGTCAGAGATGCTGATGCTTGGAATATTCACTGGCAATTTAGCCGCAGTTAGTTGAATCTCATTTAGTAAATAAATAATTATTTCAATTCAAATATTTGAATTCTTTTAAGCTCGTCTACGAATAGATAAATATAGCAACGTTTGATTAAGTTTCATTTTCTTTATACTTATTCAGCCCAATTATGAAATCTTGAAAATAGTTAAAGTAAAGCTAAAGAAATTAGTTATTATATATCGTAAAAATCTCTATTCCCATAGGCATAGAGCGATGCTCTTTGTTAGGGAAATTCACTTTGGGCTATCCATCAATATGTTGCTCCCCGCCTCAAAACTGTTGCCCAACTTCAGCTTACTTTCTACGTATGCATGTACAGATGTTTGTGTATGTGTGTGTACTTACATTCATTTCCTGGCAACGTGTGTCCTGTCAAACCGGGTATGCCGGTCACACCAACAACGCCGCCGCCACCGATGCTGCCAACACCGCCGCCAACCCCGACAACACTGCCACCAACATTGACGCCGACGACACCGCTGCCAGGATGATAGCTGTAGCCATTTTGGGTCGCATAGAGGGCTGTCTTTTGGTCCTCCATGTTGAGGGCCAGATCCATCGAGTGCTCGAGGGCCTTGTTGTCCAGACCGCTGGCCGGGTAGTAGGGCGGCGGTGCCTGATTTTGTTGGGCAGCCACAATCGAGGGCCGCACCGAGTCCATTTCGTAGTCCTTGGCGGCGGCGCTCTTCTTCGACTGATTGCGCTTGCAGCGGCAGAACATGAGCAGCAGGCCGGCGAACAGTGTGAATACAATGCACGACACGATTATCGCAATCAGTGTGGGCGTGGCCAGGGCGCTAGCCTCTGCGATATATGGTCGTCCAACTGCAATGAGGTGCGAGAAAGAGAGGGCAGAGCGTCAGTTGAGATGAATGAAATGAAGCCATGAAAAATGCAACGCCACTCAAGTGAATGGATGGTTGGCTGAATGCTTGGACGGATAGCTGGCTGGATGGATGGATGGATGGTTGCCAGCCAGGTTGCCTGACGATGGATGAGTGATTGATTGTCCAAGCTATTCAAGTGGCGCAATTGCTCGTAATGGCTTTGCATATAATGGAAATCGGTGCGTTACACAGCGAGTTCAACTCGTGAATTCCATTATTCCTGATCGTGTACAACGCCCCCCAACTGAACTGAACAGTGAATAATTGTGAATGCTTCTAAGGGACTTTAGACCAATGACACATTAGCTAATCGCTACTTCCACGGCCTTTTATTCGCGTCAATTTGGTCACAGCTGAAATGTTGGCAGCTGCTCAAATGCCAGTGTTGTATAATTAACTCAATTATTGTGTTATTTGGGCCTTTGAATTTTGAATAAAGCAAAATATAATCGATTTTAGAAGCAGACATACAATGAATAATTCACGTACAACAAATCATTCCAAATGATGTTTATTGACATCATTGATCTCCCGGTTCTATCATCAGCAGATCTTGCCATTGCTTCGATGATTATCCCCCATTTAGGCTGTAACTTGTTGCGAATTGCAAGCGTCTATCAGCGAGAAATGTACGGCGTGTTGCAAGCTAACTCTGTAGTCCAAGTAATTCTCTAAAATTTTGTTTACTTACTCTCAGCATCCGTGTAGTCGCCGCAATGCTCGTGATTATTGCGCAGGCAGAGTTTCACCCGTACCACGGGACTATTGTCGTCCTGTTCCAGCGCTAAGTTATTCAGTCCCGCATCATGTTCCTCGTCGTCGTCGTTGATGGTGTGTCCCAGAGCCCGTCCGCCGCCGCTGCGACGTGGCCCAATTAGCCGTTCGATGATCTTTTCCTTGTGTGTGGGTCCATTGCCGGACAACTGAAGGTTGTCGACAATATCCACCAGATCCCAGGCGGCCATTGGTGTGTCGCCGTGCAGCATGGTCTCGACAACAGCGACAAGATTAAGGCAAGTGGCGCCCACATCGATGCCCAGGGTGCGTGTGCTCGGCTCGTAGGTGACCTGCAGGGGTGGCGGTATGCGGCTCACTTTTGTGGTCGTCGTGATCTCATTGGAGTAGGGTGAGCCGTTCTTGGGATTCAGCGCCTTTACCTTGAACGCATAGCTCTGATGCTGATCAAGCGAGTTGACCTTGCAGGGTATATCCCGCTGGCAGTCGACCTCCACCCAATCGGAATTGGCATTTGCAAGCGTTGCGCAGTCCGGTATCAATTGCTCTTCCCGAGGCATGGCCACACGTCGATAGCTCACAAAGAACTTGGTCTTGCTCAAGCCACCATCGAAGCCCGGATCCCAGCTGAGTGTTACATAGTTGTGGCCCACATCCACGGCACGCAAGTTCGTGGGCTTCTCCGGCGGACCCTTCTGCTGCAGCCTTATGGGCGCACGTATAGTGTTCAGAGAGTTGACCACACGGCACGTGTACTCGCCGTAATCGGAGTGGGTTAGCGAATTGATGCGCAACACCGAGGTGTAAATATCATTGTTATCCGTTGTGGTGCTTATCTCATAGTGGCCATCGGAGGACATCGTCAGGGGTGAGGGATTGTTGCCGAATTGCCACTGGAACTCGGGCTTGGGATAGGCCTGGACCTTGCAGACCACTTCGGCAGTTTCCCGTATATCAAAGGCCACCTTGTTGTACTGATGGAGCACAATGGGCTCGTGTTCGATGCGTAGCTGCATGGACGAATTGGCCGAGTTCACCTCGTTCTGATAGAGACACGTGTAAAGGCCACGATCTCCGGGCACCAGCTGATTGCCGCCGGGACGTGCCGTTCCGCGGAACTTGAGCATGCTCTGGACGGTGACCATACCGTTGGGACCCTGGTCGGGATTCGTTTTGACCTCGTACAGATTCAGTTCAGGCAGTATTTCGACGCCATCCTTAAGCCATTTAATACTGGGTGCCGGCTTACCCTTGGCACTGCACGTAACCGCATAGTCATTGTCCGCCACGCGACGGGTCATGTGCTGCTGCAGCTTGGCTAGGAACTGCGGGGGCTGATGGATCTCCAGCACAATGGTGGCCATTTTGCCAATGCCCAGCTCGTTGACCGCATGACAATGGTACTTGCCCTCGTTGCCCAGATGCGCCTTCGGTATGGAGTATTGTGGACCCTGTGCCAGAATCTTTTGCCGGGAAGAGAACTCACCATCCATGTCGCGGAACCAGCGATACTGTGGCACCGGCCAGCCGGGCGGATTGGCCGAGCAGGTTAGCGTAACACCATTGCCCACATGCACCACAGGCTTGTTGGGCGTTATGTATGCCTGGCCGGGACGATGACGCACGAGGAGTGCCACGGTCGAGTTGCCAACGCGTTCGCTGCGTTCCTGGCCCTGACTCTGCATAATGTTGACGGCGCGGCAAATGTAATTGCCCGCGTGCTCTGCGCGCACCGAGTTGAGGGTCAAGACATCGCCGTTATAGCGAAACTCTGGAGCATTCTCCTTTAACCATTCGATGGTGACGGGCGACGGATTGGCGGTTACATTGCAGCGTATGTTAACGGTTTCGCCCTCTTCGGCCTCGCGCGTCTTTGATTCAATGACAACGGTGGGCGGATAGAGTATATCGAGTATGAGCTCCTGCTCGCCGGCCTTGCCCAGACCATTGTCGGCACTACACGTATATTTGCCCGCATCCTGCACGCTCACCCTGTGAATGGTGTGCACCAGCGAGGAGCTAATGAAGCTGCCGTTGCGTGTCCAGCGGACATTCGGCACCTTCGGCTTGGCGTCCACATTACACTCCAATTTGGCAGTGCGGTCACGTTCCACGCGCAGCGGATTCTCTGGTCCAACCTCGACGCGGGCATAGTCTGCAAAAATGGTACGAAAAACAGGACGTGAAATTAGCAAGGATATTTATTTTGGGTTTTCTGTGGTGTGGTGGAGGAAGATTTTCTTATTTTTGCTGGCATAAATCACAGCTACGCCGGAGACGGCGCTCCAAATGATGAAAATTAATAAACACAAAGCATTTTACTAAGGGAGGGGCGAGCTTAATCAGCGGCATCCAAACTTGTAATTGAATTAGCTCCAGCGGGGCCATCGGGGCAGGCTGTAGGGATTAGGGATTTGGGTGTCTTCGGTCTGATTAGACACAAGAATTTGTCAATTATTAATTAAGCTAATCAAGTGTCGGAGCACTCAACTTGGCTAATGCCGCACGGCTTAGAATCATTAGCAACTCGAGAATCTGAACTCTGACATTAATTGCCGAAAGAAGAGCTTAAATTGAATTAACGCGTTGCGCAACACTAGAATTACGTGTTGTATTACAGTATAGAGTAATTGTTGGCTTTTTTGAGTTAAGATGCGGTTAGCACATATGCCCATGTAACTAGACGTACGACGATCTTTCGCAACACTTTTTAATATTAATAAGCTATAATTTTGTTGCCAGCACTGAATGTGCTCTTAAATATAACAATAACATTTTATGCAACACTGTTTTCTTATGAAATTTTTAATGGTGAATTGCTTATTTTTTCCCCTCACCCATTTTATTAGCTCTGAACGTGCTTTAATATAAACCAACTAACGCTTTATGCATTTTGCAACACTTTTAATCGTAAATTGCTTTCGTTTCGTGCTCTCTCCCCGAGATGAGCCTTATATCTAATCTGTGCCCTGCACTTGACTGTCATGCTATTTGCTCCACTGCAAGTCATCGTCCCTTGCATTAGCGACTGTTAATGCACCGCAAATGCTGCAAAATTATGTGGTTTATACTCTGAGAGACCCTGCACAACCACTACATCTGCCGTTGAAAGTTGTGAGTTTAACCCTCACTTAGCTCTCTGCTCTTTGTAATTAACTGAGCCGGCTAAGTGTCGACTGCCGTCTGCCTAATGACTGTCCATAAAGTCACCAAGTCGTCGTCGTCGTCGTCGTCGCCATCGCATTGACAGCCACAAACTCAAGAAAGTGGAGCAAATGCCCCTCACTGCCCCATTACCAACCGTTTAACCTACCACTGTAAAAATTATAGTAAATTGCGTGATTCTCGGCTACCTTTTCGTCTACCTTTCAGAGTTAGCTACAGATGTTCTTCATTTTTAACCCCTCCCTCAAACTCTTTGCTCTTTGCGTGTTTATGTGCGTGTAATTACATTTGATTGTCTACCTTCGCCATGGCCTCTCGAGAACGTCGAACCCGTATACGCAATCGGAGAACCCTAGCAACGAACCGGACAAACCCACAGACGAGCCATTAAGAAATTGTTGTTGTTGGGAATTGGTGGCCTGTGGTAAATGGCTTCAAATTGGCTTAATTGTCACTTTGTGAGCCATGTTTTACACATTTGGGCCGCAAGCCCAAGCTTTCAGGCTCAATTGCATTCCGCGCATTTCACAAAGCTCATGTTGTGCAAACATTACCCAACAAATGACCTAAAAAAAGAAACAAAGTAGAGCTAAACCCCGAGCCTGAGCCGGAGCTGGAGCCCGGTTGGTGTTCCTGCCTGGCGACCCGTTCAGTAACCGTCAATTGTTGATTACTTTAAAATGGGCAGCGGCTGCCTTCAATTATTCGGTGTAGCCACTTTTCGTGTTCATAAATAATGAACCTGCAAACCAATGCTAAGAAAGAAAAAGCGCAAATAGAAATAGCGAACGGGAGGGAAAACAATTTTATGCGTGTTTTGCATATAAATTTCAAGCTTTTGGCCGAACCTAAAATTATGCGAGCAAATAATTGAATTAGTTTTACATTCAGGACTTTTCGCCCCTCGCACTCACACACACACACATAGACACACACCCTCAGCAAATCGTGTTACAAATATTTTCCAATCATTGCCAAATTGTAGGCCGAGACACGCCCCCGCCCGTTTATAGGGTGCGCTTTAAAGCCTGCGCTTAAAAGTCTGCTTCAATAAATGTTTATGGCCATTGTCGCTAATGTGCCATAGATGGCGCTAACGTTCAATAGCCAGTGGATAGAGTGAAAAATAAAATAAAATTAACAATTTTTAGTCGATGCTGCCGCCGCCGCTCAGCATTATAAAACAGTTTATGGCTAATCCCCACGTTCAATGGCGAATGAAAATGAAATTTTCAATTTTCGCTTGGGCCCTACTAACTCAATTTTCTACTCAGTTCTGGCCACTTAATACTAACGCAATTTACAGACAGACAGAGCACAGTGAACGCCTCTGCAGCTGCTGCTAAGCAACAATTAGTTATTAGGCAGAAGCTCCTTTTTTTTTTGGCAGAGGGGGCGTGCCTAATTTCGTTATAGCCACGCGCAGCACGTGGCATAAAAGGGCCGAAAGGGCAACGGTTTTAGCCATGCGCTAACACCAGCCAGCTTTGCATCTTAGCTTAAGTTGATTTCGGAGCAATTAATTTAATACAGCAGGTTGACTGAGACCCAAAAAAGAGTCAAGTAAAACAATGAAAAGTGCAATAAAAATTAGCGCTAATATTAATTTTTATTTTAATTAGAGCAACGCGCAAAAAATAAATGCTTTTAGGCGAAAACGTTATGCGCGCGCGCTTAACTTGGCTTACAGCTGCGTGCCAAATCCAATTTTAATGTGCGGCCAAAAATGTAGGGATTGTAGTTTGAAATTGGGCGTGGCATGCGCAGCCACAGGCCACAAATGCCAAAGTCAAAGCCAAGTTGAAAGCGAATTGACTTAACCCAGAGCCACTTGGCCAACAAAGATAAATGATAAGGCAAATGAGAGCAGAGCTCTATTCGGACCAACTGAAGGCAGCTCCACTTGTAACTAATGAACGCGAAATTAAAAAGTACTGAACTGAGCTGGAAACTTAACACGGATATACAATAAATTAAAGAACCGCAGAATCCAATATAAGCACATTAACCACCCAACATAAACCCAAAACAAGGTTAAGAGGTCTTAAGTCGACTTTGAGTTATCCTATCCTATTCCAGCAAACAAAGTCTTATCTTGGAATTGTTACAAAACGATATTTCTCGATTTTTAAAACTAGCTATCTTATAGATTTTAAGAAACTATTGATAAGCAAAATTCGAACAACGTTATTTATCGGTATTTTTTTAAAGAATTGAAAAGCAATAGCATGGTAAACCTTGACTTAAGTTTAAGTTTTTATATAGCCAAGTGATTTGCAATTGAAAATTCGGACTGATTGTCGATATTAATCGATTTTAGGGCACAAGCCGAAAGCGTTTTCATAAAATATGCTGATATATATAAAAATTGTAATTATTCTTAAAGCACAGCCACTTCAAAGACATATTCTCAAGAAATGTGGAGAGCAATCGTTATTTATCGGCTTTAAGATGCTGTGGATACCAATATTGAATTTATATTGAAACATGTGCTTCGAGTGTCTTAAATGTTCCTGCATAAAGCTGATATATATATTTTTACTCGATCTAAGGCAGCAGATGCCTTTGTCTGCCCACAACCCCTTTGAGTACTTTTTATGAGGCACAGGGTATAAAAACCACTCGAAGAACATCTAAGACGCTCACAAACACACACAGAGCATACAACAACTACACACAATTAATGCTTTAATTCGTTTGCTTGGCAGCTGCGTTTGCCTCTAAAATGTTATTGACCTGGTTTGTCTTGAGGCTGACAGTTGGCTGGCTGCTGACTGCCTGCGTCTGGTTTGAGGCCAGTTCCTTAGTTGGGTTTTTGGCTGGGTTTCCTTATCATGGCCAAATCGGTCGTCAACGCATCGCAACGCAACGTTGTGTGTCTCTCGTTTTGCTACTGCTACTGCTTTCAGTTGATGTTGCCATGATTTTCATCATCTACTAAATGTTTTTCTTGGCTTTCAAGTTCTTCTTGTTCTTGCGAGATGTGTGCTAGTGTGTGTGTGCGTATGTATGTGTGTGTATTTGTTAGCCAGCTGGTTTTGCCATTTTGCTGGTCTCTGCTTTGGCTCCCTACTCGTCTCCTCCACCTCAACACAGCTCTCTTTGGCTTTTGTAACTTGTTAGTTTTCTTTAGTGCCCTCCACAAGTTCTGTTCAACTGGCCCCCGCCCCCTACAGCCGCTCTCGACGCACCGTTGGCTCGCTTCATGTTCTTGTCTTGTTTTCCTATTAAGTCAAGAATTTTTATAGCATTTAGTTGGAAAAGCTCAACATATTTTTTACCCCTACTCCATGCCCATGCCCATGCCCATGCCCATCGCCCATTTCCCCCCATATGCCTTGCCTGAGATATGTACGTACGCATAACTCGTGCCTGCTGTCAGCGCATTTGAGCTATGAGCTCTTGTGGTTTTTGCTTTGGCTTTTTATTAGTTTCTTGTTGGTTTTCTTCTGCTTCATCTACCCCCTACCATCGCCGTGGCATGTCGCAAGTGGTTTAGGAACTTGGCTCTTTCTTCTATGGTCTCTAGGCCTTCCTGCCTGCTGGTCAGCTTTGGCCAAGGGTCATTCCCTCTCCGCCTGCCCACTATTTCAGGCTAACTAGTTACTAAATTGAGCGCATAAACTAAAACAAAAAATCAAGAACAGAAGGAAAGAGGCAGATGGATGATGAAGAAATGGAAACTAGTTGGTTTTGCAGCTCATAAATTACAGGAAAGCATGTTGGCAACGAGGGACAAGTAAACAAGCATCCAAATACTGAGTGGCTGAGTGGCTATTCCGATAGTGTTTAGTAAGCACATTAACTCAAAAGCAAAGACAAAAGACATCAAAGGGCAAGTGCGACGACAAATAAGCAGAAGTCAAAAGGGAAGCGTGTGGAGAGCGCTTGACAACACCAACAGTTAATGTTTTGCTAAAACTACTTGCGAATTAAAAGTCAAAAGCTTCCAGCAAGAACAGCTTGAGCGGAACAGCTTTACGTTCAACATTCATTAGCTACTAGTACTTATTAAAATCAAGCGTTTAGAACTTAGTTGTTTTTTTAGTTTTCCAGAGCATATTCTAAGCTGGGTTCTGAGTTTGAAGCCGCCGAGTGATTTTTTAGAACTACTCATCTTTACGTAGCTAAAGGTCTAGATTTTAGCTTTTATTTAGCTTTCTGAGCTACGAAAGCGTTATTTCGTAATTGCTGAAATTTTTAAAGCTATGCAACTTACTCTGCTTTTAGCAATATCTCCCCTTAATTTGAAAGATTAGCTTCTAAAATTTTTTTATGACAATTTTCTTCTAATGCGCCATGATTTTTATGCTCTTAAAGTTGTGCTTTTATTTGCTTTTCTCACTTTAAACGGATTTGCCTTTGTCGATAATAAAGACGAATAGACCACTTTATTAATTTTGAGCAGCTTTTTTGGCTTTTGAAGCAATATCTCTTTGTCAAATATAGCAGATGCAAAATTCCTGATAAACGGGCGGATAGAATGTATTCAATTGGCAATACTCAACGGAAGATAAACTACAAAGCAAATGTCTAGAAAAATAAACATTGTGCCAAAACTAAGAGAGCTAAAGAGATTTTTATCTGTGGAAGTATCCAAGCAATTTTTAAGTGCCTATTTGTGTGTGTGCGTGTGCGTTACAGCATGGGGCAAAATCAAAATAAAAAAATAAATTAAAATAAGAGATAAAAATGAAAGCAGTTCAATTAAATCGACTCTGCACACATATGTAAATGAAATGTGGCAAAGCTTTTAAACAAAAAATAATAATAATACAAATGAACAGCAGGGAAGCCAATTCTGATAAAACCCCAAAATGCTTATTGTGCTACAATTTTTATTAGCTATAGATTCACAGAGAGAAACAGAGAGATACAGATACGTAGATAGAGGCGACAATGGGGCAGGCCGTAAAATGAAATCAAAAATTTGTGCCGGCCACAGCAAATATTTGGCTAGAAATGATTTATGAAATGTTTGGCTGCATATGGGCATAAATTTGGTTGTCGTTTCAGGTCATTTCGACAAGAGCAGCTCCGAAATACAAAAAAGAAAAAAAAACATATGAACAACTCAGATGTAAACAAATGGTACTGTATCTGTGAGTTACAAATGAACAAATACGAGGCACAAATTGCGCTGCGAGTTTATTTTTATGCCACAATTTGTGGCAAATCAATGGACAAAAAGTAAAAAAATAAGGAAAACTTTTCTACAAACTAATTTTATGTGCTCTGCTTTTTCGGTCATGTTAAAAGCATAAACATTTTACAAATTTCAGTAACGACCTGGGAAAACGGGAAAAAAGGAAGCAGCAGTAGCAGTGGCAGCAGCAGCGGCAGCCGCAGTCAGTGCAATCAAAGCTGCCCCAAATTAATTTAAAAAGGCAGCCACACACACGTTCACGCACACACACACACAAACACACACAAGACTCACAGAAACAGTTGTTGCTGCCGCGCTATTTAAACAACACAAATTTTTGTAAATTGTCTGGCTGGAATTTTAATGGTAAACAAAAAAAAAAAAAAAATAGACAAATTTTGTTGGCCCATCAACTTTGCCCATTTGGGCAGAGGCTGCTTTAAATAGGCGGCCAAATTATTGACAAAGTTTTCCTTTTTTTTCCCGCTCATTTGGTTTCTTCTTTTTTGAGCTATGCGCACACATGGAGCTGGGCACACTGGAGAGCTGAGGAACTACTGGATGCCATAGAGCAGTTGCCAGATGGTGGTTGATTCCTGACAATATGGACATTCGCAACGAATTCATTTACATTGTTGTTGTTGCTATCTTTGTGGTCGTTGTTTTTGCTGTGGCTGCTTATTATTTTGTCAAAAGCGATTCGGAGCCTCTAGACGAGGTATGAACAAGAGAGAAGTAACAACAATCATCCTGTCGAGCAAAACTTTTGCTTTTATTTATTTAGCTGCACACCAGAAACAACAAAAGGCAGCCAGAGGCAAGACGAATCTGTTGATGCACTTATGCGCTAATCATATGTGCAATTCGTTTTTAGGCAGACTAATTTTTGCAAATGTTTACAAATGCGTACGAAGAAAGTATATACATTTTCAGAGAGCCTATAAAAGTGGCGTGTCACACCTTGTAAAAGGCAAATCTTTTCATTTATTTAATACTTTGAACAGGCTCACCGTGACTTTATCCAGTTGAGAATTACAAGCCGAGTAATTGAATGCTAAAAGTGAAGTATTTGGCCAAATTTAAAACAGGCCAACAACAACAAAATAAAATCAAATTCAATCTCAAAGCAATCTTTGTTTCAAGAGGCAAAGCTCATAACATATTCAGCATGCTTCAAATGCAAAGTCTAGGCCAAAAATGGGCCAAGCGAATTTTCAGAGCCTGAGCTAGAAAAAATAAAAAAAAAAAAGTTTAAAAAAAAAGCGAAAACTCGGGCAACACGTAAAGCAAATTTTTGAATGGCGTAATTTTCCAGCGAAACGAGACGTGTAGCTGTGCCAGGACTGATCAGGGGGTAAGGGAACGGCGGGCATTCAAAATGGGCAGCCACACACAGATGGTAGAAATAGCTGAAACGGTTGAAACAGTTGAGCAATTGCAGCAGCAGCAGCAGCAAATTTTTGATGCTTTGTTTAACTTTGGCATGGGATGAAAAGAGTGGCAGAGTGAGTGCGAGCGAGACAGCAAGTTGTGGCACAGAATTAGGCGCAATACGGAATTACTTGCACAGAAATAAAGCAAATAAAACAAAAGTTTTCCACGTGCCCCCAGAGAGTTTGATAAGAGAGGCCACTACACTGCTCCCGCCCCCCGAGCAGTCCCTTGGTCTATGTCTATAATAAACTCAATTCGCTTTTCATTTTTTTTTTTTTTTTTTTTTTTGGGGCGTCTGCGCCTATCTATGCTACCAGTGGGCAGCAGTGCGTAGGCGTGGTCTGGCCAAACAGTAAGTGGCATTGTCTTGGCAACTGGCGCGACAGCGTCCTTTGACCTAAATAATTAAATTCAGTGGAGGAGCGATGGAGGCGACATCCAAAGAATGAAGACAACAAAACAACAACAACAACAACAACACCAAAAACTTTGCTTTTAGCGCACGAACTTGCGTTGTCCTTGGTCTTCTTGAGCTGAACTTGTTCCCTTCACTGCAGCAGGCAGCCAGCTGCCGTTTGCCGTTTACCCGGACTGCTGCCTTGCAGCAGTGCATTTCATTTAATTTGATGTTAAATTAATTTGCTCCATTGCAGCTGTAACCAGCTCGGAGAGCAACTGAAACAACCGAAGCACTTTATGCAGATTTCATTGCCTTTGTAAATATTTAGTTAATTTGAAAAGATTTCTACCCCATCACCTTGTTACATTTTAACAGCAGCTGTCTAATTTTAGTTGCTTAAAGCTCTGTACACAGGCCGACACCAGACAGCTGATTGGTTAGTTTGTGTGTCAGAGTCAGAGTCAGAGTCGGGCCTGTCACTGCACAGATACTTGAATTTAACCTAACCGGAAATGAATCTCAGGTGAGCTGAGAGACGAACACTCTCGAGCGGGTAGCAGGGGGCGGCCAGAGCCAACACCTTGACAAGCTGTTTATCAAAGATTTCTCAACCGCTCAAATGTATACAGCTATCAAATAGAAGAAATAGTTCAAACTGTTGAGAAATCATTAAGCATCGTCGTTCAACACAAGTATTTAAGAAACTGTTAAAGTGTACAAAGTTCATTTCAATATGCAAAGAATATTCTCTGAATATTTAAGATGCATTTTCTTTTTACGTATTTTAAGCTACACTTAAAAACCTTTGCAATTTAGCATAGTGTCCGCTTGAAGCTATTTCTGTGCAAGAAATTTATTTATATTTTTCCACAATAATTTTTTCGACAAACGTTTATTCTTAAAATGTTTACTATCAAGTTTTCACTCAATTTTCACCCAAAGTGCTGCATTTGTGTCTTGCTATTTGCTTATTCATGTATCGTTAGTCTAAGTAACTTATTTAAGATACATAATTAGAAGCATTTTCTTTTACCTGTCAACATTTGCAACGTTGGGTCTAATGAATTTGCAAGCAGCTCTCATAATTTTGGGCATGGAAACTTTTTAAATTCCAGCAAACTATCTAATTTTGCAACTTTTCTAATGGAAATTGTGCCTTTTTGCAGTTTTTCAACTTTTGTTTTTTCAAGTGTATTTGAAAAATACAAAATTCATCAAATATTTCCATTTCTAGTTACGGTTACCATTTTTGGTTTGACGACAGAGCAAACGAGTTGTTGCTTCTGTTGCTGCTGCTGCATAACTCTAGGCACTTGCAACCATTCCGAACAACATTATGATGTTAAAGATGATCAACATCATGAACTTGTAGTCATCAGCATCAGCATCAGCATCAGCATCAAGCGTCATGTGTGGCTGCCAGAGGGCAACAATAAAAACACATCGCAGGTTGGCCCGTTGGCTGCTGTTTTTGTTATGGCAGCAACAGCAGCAGCAGCAACAACAACAGCAACAGCGGCCGCCCCCAGCAGCACTCAAGTTAAAGCCGCGATGGTCTAACCCCACCCAATCCACCCCTCGTCGTAGCCCCAAGCGGCGTCAGCTGCTGCTTTATAGTCACTCGCTCGCTCAATGTTATTGTTGTTGTTGTTGTTGTTATAGTTGTAGCTGTAGTTGCTGCTGTTGCTATTTGTTGCTGCAAGTCAAGTAGAAGCTGCTGCAAATGTAAACAATGCAAACGACGGCAGAGGCAGCAGCAGCAGCAGCAGCAACAACAATAAGCAAAAGCCGCTCGCCAGCAGGCGAAATGTAAATACAATTTTTTTTAAATTAACTGCCAGCCACGTGGCATACACACACCTCCAAACGCTCCCCCATCTGCCCTCCACCCACACTCGATTGCCACTGCAGCTGCAGGAAATGTATCTACATATGTAACGTGCAATATTCAAGATTGTTGTTCATATTGCTGCCAGGGCCGAATTGTTGTTGCTGTTGCTGCTGCTGTTTGGTTGGCATTTTAGCTTTTGTAACTTGTTCCATTTGTTCTGCACTTTTGCCGTAGTTTTCACTGCACTCGCATTCGCATTCACAGTATTCTTTTTGGCTTTTCCAAGAGAGAAAACTCTACAGCTGCTGCTGCTGCTACTGCCGCATCCTCGTCAATAGTTTTGCGCTGCCCTGCTGCAAGTTGCTTGCCCCGCTGCCGTTCGCCAGGTTCGTTCTGCCACATTTGCCGCCTTTTTATTTGCTCTCCTCTGAGCAGCACTCGCATGAGTTGAGGACTATAGTGGCTCTATAGTCGTTATATAGCCAGTACTTATGTGCAATGTAAGCGAATGCGAAATGCGAATACCAACGCGAACAACTGCCGGCTGCTGCTGCTGCTGTCAATTGGCATACACTAGCGGAAGGAATAGACATCATAGCTATCTAATATGATTGAACATAATGCAATATTGGTTTAGCAGAGGCAAGCATATGGGTACTGCAAGTAATGCTATAAGTGCAGATCGGTTAAAAAACTCAAGAATGTATAAAGGAAGTTTAACAATGATCTCTAAGCATTTCGTTTTCTTGCCAAACTATGTATTGATCCAGACTTGGGCTAAACTATCAAAGCCAGCTTCAACAACCAACTTATGTGAACTATGATAAAACTCGCGTTATTTGTTGCTTGACTCACAGAATGTTAACTTTAAGTTCCCATCTACTCTCAACTCAATCAAATATTTATTTTATATTCATTCACTGAAAGAGCATTGCAAGTTCGTTAAGCATTGCGTTAAAATAAATATCATTTTATGCGCTTTTCTATTGGTTTTGCTGTTGTATCTGTGCAGCAAGCAGCTGAAAGGGGGTATGCTATGGCATGCTCGGTTGTTGGGAGCTTGAGTTCATATAGTCCGTGCAACATGTGTGCTGTAAAACTTTATAACGCCAAAAACGCAGCAAGAGGAGTGTTTTTTTTACCCTCGCCCCAATCTAAGCCCCCGCGCGCTGCTGTTTATGCAGCTCCCTTTACAGGCATAATAAATTTATATGTAGACGCTGATATGCTGTAAATATTTTTCCAGTTGCCGCCCGCTGGCCAACAACAACAGCAGCAACAATGCCCAGGAATGTGCAAATATATATTTTACTATATTTCATATTATTTTTCCTATTTTTTTCCCATTCCCCAGCATAAAATTGCTGCGCTGAAAAGCGTAACCTGCGGGCAGAGTTTGGCTTGGTGCAAACATTTTTGATATTTGTGCAAATAAATAGTTGAAAATAAGTTTTATATGCACACAAGTTTTAATTAGCCGGCAATTGCGAGGGCCAACAAGTTCGAATGCAATTATAACTATGCAATTAACAGCATTGGAAGTGCAAAAAACAAATAAATATAAACCAAATATTATAAATATTAAATGGAAAATGATTTGCATGAAATTTACAAAATGCATTTAATAGTGCAACATAAACTGAGGTGACGGCTAGGCAAGAGCTTTAGTTAAATGACAGTTGCATATATACACAGCCATACATATATATAGATTGGGATAGAAAAGTGAAATCAAAGAAAAGCGCATTCAATTGCTGGCATAAAGTTTGCTATTGAAAAAAAAAAAAAAGAACCAACAGAATATCCATTGAAAACAAACAATAACAAGCGTTAAATTGAACAACACAACAACAATTCAACTTGAATAAATATAAACAAAAAAATACACGTAATCGCACTTGCTGCAGACTTAATAAAGAAACGAATTTGTTCCGAGTTTTTCCCCATTTATCAACTGTTTACACATTTTTACACTTTTGTGCGTACTTCTCTTTGTTGATTGAACTTATTAGAAGTTTATTTGAAATACCATATTCTGGCTGGGCAAACACACTACGCAAATTATTCGCATTGATCGTGTGTGACGACACCATGAATGGATTATCCTAGGCGCCTTTGATTGAATATTAAATATATGCTAACAAAAGCCTAGCAAAATGAGATTTGTAAAAGTTATCAAAGTTATGCAGCAGAAAGTTTTCAATTTGATTGCTGACGATTTATGGTAAACAGGAAAGTAAACTGACGATTGTTAGCATACAAATGTTTGGAACTCGTTTAAAGAAAATTTAACAATTGAGAAGGAAACTC